AAAAGAAGACCAGGACCAGGTGATTGGCATGGATCACGACCAGAGCGGCGACGAATAATCGACTTTATCCATGTGATCGACTTCATTCTGTTCAGTAAACGCGGCACGCGGCGTAATCCGAAACATTGCAGTAGTGCCATGGTTTAACATCGATAGTGACCATGGACTAGTGCAGAACAGGCCAACCTTCGAGGAGAAAATCAAGACGAAGGAATTGTAGATGGCAAATCGCGGATAATCGCCAATGGTATTCGATATGTCGGAGCTTCACTCGCATTTTCGGTGAAGGCTGGATCGTGAAAGGTAGCTGCGACGACAACTACGAGTTGTTCGCAGGCAGACTGATTCGCTGTGTAAAGTCAGAAAATTAAAGAGCTCAACTTAGGATCTCAGAAGAGACGAAGATTTTGATTGAGAAGCAGAGGAGGATGAAGAAAGATGGTGCCGACACTCCGGAGCATCTCTCTTCTCCGCATGCTCATTTGGCAGAAGCTGAAGGAGGACTTCGGACACGAGAACTGGGAGAACAACCGAAGGCCGCAAAAGCCTCAGACAATGCAGGAGAGAGTTAGCGTTTTATCAGTCAACCATCACGGCGTTTAAAACAAAAAATGGCGCATTAGAAAGCTGACAGGCAGTCTTTCACTAAGATCTTTTATACCCAGCACTTTGCGCCAAAACCAGGACTCTCCCACCATCACTCCCGATTATCATAAGCGATATTCGACAGGCCGCGCAGCAAATGAAGGAAGGAAAAGAACCCCAAGGAAAGAAGGTCTGACAACTGAAATGATCAGAGCAAGTGGTCAGATGCTGTGAAGGACTCTGGTAAAGAGGTTCAATTGCTTCCTCGAAGCGGAAAATATGCCATTAAAAGTGGAAGGAGGCAAAAATCGTATTTTTTAGGATAGACGAAAAGGAAAATCAGATGAGTTATCGTTCAACAAATCTGTTCTCACAAGTCTGCATGCTGTTCACTAAGGTAATCGCCAACAGGCTGTCAAAAGGTATTTAAGAACAGCGGCCATGAAATCTGACAGGATTCTGAAGGAACTGCAACACAGCGGATAAATTTTATTTTAAGTCAATTCCTCGAGCGCGTGAGGGAGTTTCAGATCCATTTCCCCTCAGTGCATAGTCTTCGTCTACTACGAGGAGGCGCCCGATGCTGTCGAGCACAACGCAGTATAGACAGGCAGAGCAG